GTGAAAAATCTCGATTTTAACGTGTTTGCTTTAGGCCATAGACCACCACAAGAAAGACAGATGTGTGAAAGCCTTGTTTGGACATTTCGTCTTATTTAATTTTCTTGAAATACAGTGGACGAGTTTACACAAAATGCAAATGGAGTTTTTAATAAACTCATGAAATTTTGTTATGTTTTCTTTAATCTGATTTATTGAACTCTGTTTTAAGTATTTGCCAGATGATATTTAGCTCGTTGTACAACCCGACTGAATTACAAACGGGTTGCCGGGGTCAATTTTCGTTCTCCTTTCCGCTTCAAACCTAAGACGTAAACTTATGTGGTGTCCGTTTCTTCGCCAAGCCTAAGATAGACATTATTAATATATTAATGTTTCGGAGGTCCGTGTTTGCTCTGATCCTATTTTGTATTGTTTTATTGAATTTGAGATCGTTCGTTATCTCCATATCCTTCATTTATTAAATGTGCCCCTAAGGTTCGCCCAAAATTAATTTTTAGCCGGGCTTATTGCTCAAAGAGCAATTGCCGGCTAATGTCATCCTGTACGTGTTCAAGACAGGAAGTGAACCCCTTAGTCGCCATTTTAAAGTTACGTGCAAAAATATAGTTCTTCGCAGTACAGTTAAGGTGCGCAATGGAAATATTGACTAAATTTTGTATTTAAGAATGTATTCGTAATCGGGATGGCGATTGTTTTTAGTACATTATTTATATCAGATAATTGTAATTATGATTAATAACTACATATTGAGGACGATTATATTTTATATTTAGACTGGTCACGTGATGCGGCAGTCACGCGATTTTAGCACATTGACTTGAAGTATTGATGTTACATATAAACATCACTAGTGCAAGGGCATACCCAAGTTAAATCTCCAAGTTTAGTATATAGATATTTTCAACACGCATTGTAGTTTCTAAAAAGTGCTGCGATCCTGTCTAAATTCTGCAATTTCATTGTTAAAATTAATCTTGAATGGCCGAATGCTGTAGTTTTTGCTGGTCAGCGGCATGAAATATTGATCTAATTAAATTGATTTTAAGATTTCATCAGGATCGCAGCACTTTTCAAATACCTTAATAGCTCTATAGTTGAAATGTAAAAGCTTACTTTGATCCATAGAGTGTATGCCCTTGCACTAGATCGATTTATTAACCCCCCCCCCCCCCCCCCCTTACCCTCCGATGTACTTGCACACAAATATACGGCAGTGTCAATTAAATACGTAATGTACAGAAAATATATTAATAAAATAGTGAAGAAGACATTAAATCCAAGTTATTGGCCCATGGAATATCTGTAAAAAATATTTTATTTAATTAGAGAATACATATTTTGTTGAGAAAATATTACTTGATCTGTCTCTCACTGCATACAAACTATGTCACGTCGTAAGAAATGACGTCATATTGACAAGTGTATTGCGATCAGTGACTTGTTTATAACTTGTTATGTGGGATTTAACTAACGACAAAACAACACGCTGTAGTAAGTTTTTATGTAGTTTGATGATTTCTTACTGGTTAAATTAATAGATAAACTCATTTTGTTGTATTGTAAAGAAATGTTGTATGACGTATATTGTGTATGATGTCATAGTCAAGTTTTCCCGTACAAATTAGGCTCCGCCTCCTTTTTGTAACCTTAACTGTGCTGCGTTACTCTCAAATGCTTTTGAGATAATACAAACTCTAAAGAAAGCAAGAAAAATTGATTGTATACTGTTTAACGTCCCGCTCCAGAATATTTCACTGATATGGAGACGTCACCATTGCCGCTGAAGGGCTGCAAATTTAGGCCTATGCTCGGCACTTACGGCCTTTGAGCAGGGAGGGATCTTTGTCATGCCACACCTGCTGTGACACGGGGCCTCGGTTTATATGGTCTCATCCGAAGGACCGCCCCATTTAAAATAAAACGAAATTTTATCTATATAAATAAACATTAGCAGTAAAGACTTTGAAAACTTCAGTCCTTAGTCAAAGAACATAGTTCTTTAGCGTAAGGATTTTTGATAATCAGTGTTATCGTAGTTCTCTACACATACGAGGTATAGCAGGAGAGAGAACCAGACTGGCCTGTTTGTTTACATTCAGCTGCGGTACCAGATTGATTCTGATTCTGACAAAATCGGACCGTGGTATAAGGATTGAAAAACTCACTGTCAGTGTCTTATCATTTATATCGATAGTTTTAAAATAATATTTTCATCAGAATATAAACGTGATTCATGTAAGAAATTCATTCTAGTCTGTAAATGAGCCCGACTCTCTGTACTTCTGAGTACTTTGATTAATTTAAAGAAAAATGTTCCAACATCGCATTGGCTAACAAGACGTCGATATATTATATACTAGGTCATTGTTGGACCAATGACAAATAACAAATCGTAGAATGTTGGTCCAGCGACGAGCAAATTCATAGACATTGCTGCTAAATTATCAGTCACATTATCCAGCGATGGGGTAAACGATGAGAAACCGATGCGTTTTTTGATATAAAATGGAGTGGTTGCCGGCCTGACATCTACAGTAATCGGACGGTGACTGAGGCTATTTGGCAAATCGATGGAGGTCATCGGTAGATAATAAGTTGCAATTAAAAATCAGCGATGACTCCACCGACGCCCAACATCGCTCCTCATGGCAACCCATCATTAGCGCATCTTTCAAGGATTGGCTGATGTATGGCCGAGCATCGTCAAGTGTCCGTTAAATCTAAAGTATGGGGGTTGAGTGGTCGGCAACAGACATCGGCCGATCATCGCGGTCGATATTCGACCAAAAATCGCCCAATAGTCGACCGACGTACGAACGATGTTCACCAATGTATGAGCGATGTAGTATTAATCGGCCGATTACCCTGGAACATCGTTTAATGATAAGCAATGCGTAGCAGGTCCTTTTTAAGTCCGGCCGGCAACCACGCCATTTTGATCAAAATACGCATTGGTTGCCCATCGTATACCCCATCGCTGGATAATGTGACTGATACTTTATCATGCCTTAGTCACATTTCCCGGCCGGTGGCCATAGACCGGTGGTAATCCGTGGTGTGATCGATGCCTCAACATCGGTCCACATCAGCCTAGAAGACCTTAAAGTATCAGTCACATTATCACTCTTATGTTTGACTACATCGGATTTCCTCACTGTGGTTTTCCGAATCCATCACCACTCTCTGAAATGCACATGACGTAGTACACAGTAACATGACGTTATTAGTCTCCTTCCGGTAAAACCGAAGGGGACTTAGGTTTTCTCTCTGCGTATGTGCGTCCGTCCGTCTGTCTATCCCCATGTCTTTTTTAATGGTTTTTAATCTTCAATAAATAGTTTTATTGAATAATTCTACGTAAATTTTGTGAAAATCATTGCTTTCTTTCTAATCTTGAAAAGTAATTTCCCTATCAATCTTTGACAAGGGAATTCGGATAAACAACTGAATTAAACAATATCAAGTGTTTGAGAGCTCCTATACAAATTATAGCCAGGTTTGGTAATCTGAATGAATTAAGAATAAAATCTATTTTATTCAACATAGCTATTTACTTTTTCTTAAACAATATCAAGCAAAATAATATCCCTGAAACTGATTGAATGTCATAAAATTCCCAAATCAAAGATACATTCCCAAAATGGAGTGGAAAATCCCTGTATGACTTTAGCCCTTAAGCTGTTTAGATTGATTGGATATTGTTCAACGTCCCTCTCGAGAAGTTTTCTCTCATATGGAGACGCCACCACTTGCCGGTGGATCAAGGATCAACTCCTCACTTCGCGACTCTAGAGCGGACGCTCTAGTCACTGCGCCACGCGCGTTGAATATGCAATTTGTTTTGCATTTGTGCGATACATAATTTAAATTACCTTTTTAACATCGATATAAAACAGCTAACTATAACTTAAATTCTTTTGTAAAAAGGAAATATATTTTTCTTCAAGAATAATGTAGAAATAATAAATTACTACATCAGTAGCAAATTTCTGCATGAATATATTATTTTATATATAAATTATAGAACCCCTTAACTATAACATGTATTCAGCTGCATGTCAGATAAATACAGTTAAGGTCCTTCAATTAAAGTTCACTCATGTCGTTCAGAATACTTAATTAAGTTCACGCACCTTTTGATTTGAAATGAAATATGGTCATTATTCCATTTAAGAGAATATTGACATTCCTGTAAATGTTAATAATTTTTTCATGATTGTGAGAAACCTTTGCTGCTCGTAGTTTCGTGGATATATATTAATATGCTCAGAATATATAACAGGTAATTTTCACATAAACTGATTCTGTCATAACTGCTCATCTTTTCGTTAAATTCTGATTTAACAACATACCTAATTATAAGCAATAGTGGATTGAAGTGGTGTAGTAGGATGTCAGTGCGCTGTAGTTGAACTTAACAAGAAGAAATAAACTATGTGGCCGAGGAGATGACATCATTGCCTGGCAGTCTAATGTGGCCGAGGAGATGACATCATTGCCTGGCACAGTTTCTAATGTGGCCGAGGAGATGACATCATTGCCTGGCACAGTCTCTAATGTGGCCATTGGTGTGAAGATCAAGAGAGATGTATTGAAAAAAATGAACAAAGTCAGGCAGGATTCGTCATATTGCCTGACTTTGAAGAGCCACCAATACTGTATGATATCCTCGCAAGAAAAGAAACCTGTTCACATCCACAGATTTTCCACTGTTCCGAATAGTTTATTGATATGGTTATAAGCGGGACTCTTTTTCAATGCAGTTTTAATTATTGCACCCAGGATGACTAACTTTTCAATTGTCACCTTCCCTTATTTATACGGCAGTATACTTTCATCTCCTGCATACGAAGTCTCCGTTTATAAGTTTATAAATTGTGGCAATAATACTGAAGACCGAAGGTTCATTTGACCTTTGATGGATGTTTTATAAAATGGCGATCTGATTGTTGATAATTGCATTCAGATTGCTGCAATTATAGCTGTCATTAAAACCCTTCTGCTCTTATAAACAATATGCATTAACGTCCTACACATCCAGCCTGAGACAGACCAACGTGAAGATGGAGGGACCCTATTGTAAACCTTTGCTTGCTGTGTTTATAATTCTACTGCAGACCATTTTTGGAAATTGTGTAAGTAACATATTAAAGATATCGAAACTTGAAAGTAAGAACGACTGGATTCTTATTATGGTGTAAAGGTAGCGTTTTTTTTATAGCTAGATCGACAAGGATGGATTTATATATTGAAGAACAATTTATTTTTTTCCTTAAAAATAACACTAGCAAAGTTTTTCTACCAAAATTCAAATATCTATGTTGGAATATGTGCTTCTATTCTATGAGTAATTTTTTTTTTAGTTTAACAGCATAATGTATGAAAAGAGCGATAATTCAAATTTACGTTTACAGCTCATTACATTTTTATTAAGTTTTAGAAATGCATGAATTTTTAGCTCTGCTGGTCAGAGACCAGAAGAGCTTATGCGATAGTAATGCGTCCGACCGTCTGTCTGTCTGTCTGTGAACAATTTTTAAAAACGCTTCTTCTACAGTTTTGGTCCGATACACAACTTGGCACACAAGTAGACTACACTAAGATACATAATTCTGTATATTGGTTTTTGATTTCGATGAACGGTGTTGCTATTGTTACTAAAAATAGAATTTTCAATTAAATGATTTCAAAATGCTACTCCTACTACAGTTTTAGTCTGATTTCAACACAACTTGGCACACAAGTAGATTACACTTAGTCTAAGATACATAATTCTGTGTATCGGTTTTTGATTTCGATGAACAGTGTTGCCGTTGTTACTAAAAATAGAAATTTCTGTGAAATACTTTTAAAATGCTACTCCTACTACAGTTATATTCTGATTTCAACACAACTTGACACACAAGTAGATTACACTTAGTTTAAGATACATAATTCTGTGTATCGATTTTTGATTTCGATGAACAGTGTTGCCGCTGTTACTAAAAATAGAAATTTCTGTGAAATACTTTTAAAATGCTACTCCTCCTGCAGTTTTGGTTTGATTTCAACACAACTTGGCACACAATTAGACTACACTAAGATACACAAGTTTATCTTTTAAAAAGATAGGTGGGCTAGCGCCGTAGCATTTTTTAATCACAGACAGGAAGATCCGTGATCAAGTGATTTATTTTGCTGAATTCTTTAATTTTTATCGAGGCTGGAGAGTGATAAAGTTATTATTGTTTTGTGAAGCGTATTCATTTTATAGACACATAGGTAAAGAAACAAGGGGTTGGGTGACGGTGACCTATTGGAGTTTTGGCGCAACGGAATATATATGACCTTTACTGGAGAGGGGGGGGGGGGCTCTATTTAATATGAAGAAGATGCCGATTGAGACATTGCATGTATGAGCTGATTTAAGGTTAAAAGCCATACACATCAGAATGTTTTAAACACAAATAGTGGATTTATTCGTTATTTTTAGTGTAAATTCTTGCTTCTGTTTCTGGAATTTGTAAGATTGGCTGAATTGACCAATAAGAAATTAGATTCTATCCTTGGTTGTGTTTGGATGTAAAAAAAAAAACAAAAAACTAAACAAAACCCCTTGTCATTGTTTAGAACAATCAGATAATGACTCGGGCTTTTCCGTCAGCAACCCCCCCCCCCCCCCCCCGAATTTGAAATATTATAAATAAGAAGTTATCTTTAAAAAGTTAGCCACACAATAAATAAACAGTTATTTCATGCTACAACATGATACAACGAAATTGTTATCGTACGGTCTATCTGTAGTAGTTTTCACAGTTTTCCCAGAATGCACGGCCATGGCGGCCGAGCATGCGTATTCAAGGAATTTGGACTAACGTAGTTGCTAGCGCTCGAGAGCGCTAGCAATAATTCTGTGAAAAATTTTTAGGTCACCTGAGTAAAGTCAGGTGACCTATTGCTATCTGTTTTCGTCCGTCGTCGTGCGTCGTCCGTCGTGCGTCGTCCGTAGTGTGTTAACATTTGAACATTTTCAGCTTCTTCTCTGCAACCACTGAACCAATTTCAACCAAATTTGGCACAAAGCATCTATTGGTAAAGGGGAACAACAACTGTGAATTTCATGATCCCTGTCCCCCTGGGGCCTTAGGGGTGGGGCGAAAACCACTAAAATTAATTCAATCTTTAAAAATCTTCTTCTTTACTCCTGGACATCAAGCAGTCAATCTCTTTGCATGACTGTAATCAGCAATGAGTCCTCTACCAAAATTGTGTAATTCATGGCCCTGGGGTCAGGGGTTCTAGTGCTAGGGCGGGGCTAAAAAAGTAGGTAATGAAAATGCATTATTTCTTTGAAAATCTTCTTCTCTGCTCCAGGGTATTAAATAAACCAACTAAGTACATAGCTATAATGAGCAAGAGTGCCTCTACCAAAATTGTGAATTTTATGGCCCCAGGGTCAGGGGTTCTGGTGTTAGGGCGGGGCTCTATTGATTATATAGTGAAAATACATAAATTCTTTGAAAATCTTCCACTCTGCTCCTGGGTATTAAATAAACCAACTAAGTACATAGTTATGATGAGCAAGAGTGCCTCCACCAAAATTGTGAATTTGATGGCCCCAGGGTCAGGGGTTCTTGTTTTAGGGTGGGGCTCTAATGATTATATAGTGAAATGCATGAATTCTTCGAACATCTTATCCTTTGCTCCCGGTTAATATACTAATGATCTACTTACATATTTAAGGCCAGGATTTATTTTATTTTCAGTTTTATAAACCCTCCGCTCAAGGTTTTGAATTTTCAGAAAAAATAAAACAATTTTTTTTCTTTCCGATGTCAAATTTGAGTCGGGATCGAGATTTCAAATTTACGAACCCGCACTTCCGGTTTTAAGATGAAACGGCGGGTAAATAAAGCTAGATCTGAGAAGATAGCTTGGTTTAGTGTAAAATTCATCGATACGAGTGCCATGTAAAACGTTTCACCCGCTCAAAGGACAAATAAAATGCTGACGACTTTGTTGCACAATGACATGCTGGTGAGATAATTATGTATTCGTTACAAAAGTATCTGTCTGTAATTGTAAATTATTTTCCTCCCCCAGGTTTTAAACTGCCCTTGGTAGCTATTGCATATTGCCAGCGACATTGTTTAGGTCTCTGTTATAGCTTACAGTCTAAGCATCATTCTTCAAAAAGGGTTGCTTATGCATCAGATGTAATGAATAAAACTATGGGAGAAGTTAAATCCATTTGAGGAAGAAATAAACAATAACCTAAAGAAATAAAAAAAAAATTCAACTATTAAAAGGTAAGAATATACAAATATATACAGGCATGTAGTATCATTTGTATCAGCCAGAAAAATTATTTTACACTTAATTGAAAAAATGTTCACCCTACTCCCCAATACTCCCTGTCTGTTTTATGATAGTAATTATAATTTTAGGCATCAAGTAAATTTTAGAACAATGTCTACACATTCACCTAACACATATTAAAAAAATAAGATATATTGAAAGACTTTTAAAGAATTGATTTTTGAAAATATATTTTGACCAACATCACAAAATTTATGTAACTGGCCCAAACTGGCAGATGATGAAATAAGCAATTAAATGTTCTACTTTTCTATTTGTAAGCATTATGTGTCCAGTGGTAGGGGGCCTATTAGAATAGCATAAAAAGAGAATGTACAAATGTTAATAATTGATTTACCAACAATTTTTTTTATTTCCTTCTCCTTCGGGACTTTTTTATTCTCATGTTCATAACTAAACATTAAAAAATGCTGGCCTTATAATGAAGAAAGGGGCCTCTTTCAAAATAGATAATTTCAGGGCCGCTGGGTCAGAGGTACCAGGGGGGTACTTTGACTAAAAATAAATTAAGCAGTGGTGCCTCCTTCAAAATTTGTTAATTTCATGGCTTTTGGATTAAAACACGAACCAAATACAATCGCTGGAAAGTTGTTACATGATACTCAGGTGACCTGCAATGTATGTTTGATTTCGATGAACGGTGTTGCCGTGGTGACTAAAAATTGAAATTTCTTTGAAATACTTTAAAATTAGGGATGTCAATTTTACTCGGACAGCTATAGTCGAACGATAGTCGAGTACTCGTTAATTAATTAAATTCACGTGTCTTTTAAATACTTCTTGTACGCTATCATGCAGAATCAATTATATCGCGATTTTCTCAATCGTAAATCTGTACGTAATAATATGTAAATGTATCCAAAATTGAATGAATTTTAATTCAAATACTTATGTTTATTGCACATTTTATGTAATATACTATATACAGGACTATGGCACGCCAAATTCACAAAAATGCGCTAATCATAGTTTCACAATCGATAAACTAGGTTTATCGGTTGTAAACTATAGTTAACGGACTGTAAACTATAGTTAACCACGTTAATCTATATTTTACATCTGTAAACCATAGTTAACGCGATAATCTATGTTTCACAACCGTAAACTATACTTCACACCGAAAACTAACATTTGCGATTGCAAAACATAGATTATCTATGGCACGCCAAATTCACAAAAATGAGCTAAACATAGTTTCACAATCGATAAACCAGGTTTATTGACTGTAAACTATAGTTTACGGTTTGTAAACTATAGTTAACGACGTTAATCTATATTTTACATCTGTAAACCATAGTTAACTCGATAATCTATGTTTCACAACCGTAAACTACATGTATACTTAAAATCGAAAACAATCATTTGCGATTGCAAAATATAGATTATCTGATAAATAAAGTTCCACGATTTGTAAACTATAGTTTACAAACCGTTAACTATGGTTAACGATCTGATAAATATAGTTTCACGATTTGTGAAACTATGATTAACAACTCCTAACTATAGTTTACGATTGTAAACTATAGTTTACAAACGTGAATCTATGTTTAAAATCAAAATCTATTGTTAACGCTTATTACAGACAGAGAAACTTAGATTAGCAATCGTAAACTATAGTTAACAACCATTAAATATAGTTTTACAGATGAAAACTATACTTAACGAATCGTTAACTATAGTTAACGGTTTGTAAACTATAGTTTACAGTCGATAAACCTAGTTTATCAATTGTAAAACTAGGTTTAGCTAATTTTTGTGAATTTGGCGTGCCATAATTATCTGATAAATACAGTTTCACGATTTGTAAACTATAGTTTACAAACCGTTAACTATAGTTAACGATCTGATAAATATAGTTTCACGATTTGTGAAACTATGATTAACAATTCTTAACTATAGTTCACGATTGTAAATTATAGTTTACAAACGTGAATCTATGTTTATCAACAAAATCTATTGTTAACGCTTATTACAGACAGATAAACTTAGATTAGCATTCGTAAACTATGGTTAACAACCGTTAAATATAGTTTACAGATGAAAACTATACTTTACGAATCGTTAACTATAGTTAACGGTTTATAAACTATAGTTTACAGTCGATAAACCTAGTTTCTCAATTGTGAAACTAGGTTTAGCTAATTTTTGTGAATTTGGCGTGCCATACAGGACATCTCTAACACTCGCATTTGTCCTTTCTATTCATAACGCTAGTACATGGACCCATTAATGATCCACTACCTGAAGCCATTTAAAAGTAATAATAGTCAATGACCCGCAACTGGTAAACGGTGAAAGCGTACCTCTTATAAAAACAAAGAGAGCTTGCTTTAAATTTTAATAATGAGATTTTGTGCAAACAATCAACACTGATCAATACAATTTTGAAATGACTAAAGAAAAATAAACCTTTAAATTACGCTCATTACTGTCCCCTCCCAGTTTTTACAAAATAATACATAAAAGCTGTTTGCATGTAATTATTTTTAATGAATTAATTAATAGTTGCATTACGCATGATCTTATGGTATTGTGGACTGGAACTTAATAATCTCATGCTAGCAAACCAAATAGTTCATGAAAACCCTTTCTATACCAAGCACGAAGAGATAGACAATCCTTATAAATCATGTTGATGATATAAACATTTTTTTTCCGCTCTGCAGTTTATTTTTTGCCTTGAAACTAAGATAACTATAAAATAGCATTTGTTTAACGAATAACCGACTAAAAAAATCTTAGTCGATAGTCGGTATGATCGAACGATAGTCGAGTACTTGAATATTCGTTGACATCCCTATTTAAAGTGCTACTTTTTTGCTTCCCCTGTTATAAGTACAAACCAGTAGAGCTACAGTCTCGACAGAGACTTCTGGTTTTTACTGCCAAGTTTCTTTGGGCATTTTAAATAGTTTATTTTAATATTTTACACAATTAAAATTTCTAAATTACATTTCCATTGAAAGAAATATTGAAAAAAAATACCCTTGTAACTCTTCTGTGTTGTAGATAAGAAAATTGGTTTGTGGTATCTATCGTTAAAATGTTTAAGAAAAAATCCCCCAAAATATCAATATAAATACTGAAAATCGTTCGAATTTCTTAACTTTCGAAATTAACTGAAGTAAGCGGGAGAATAATACTATCGTTCACAGTTCTTATGTCCTTTTATTGATCGGATACCTTGAGCACTAAAAGTCGATCGCTTTATCAACAATTTTCAGTATTTTTTTCTAATTCATTTTCTGTAAATTATGAGAAACATGCTTTGAAAATTTACGCTTCAGAAATAGTTTTTAAATTTCATACATTTTACATATATGTATATTATATAGGCCTAAAAAATAAAATTGTTCCATGTATAATTAAAATGAGAATAAAAATATTTCACAGGAGGTGCAGGTATTGCGGCCAATTGGTAAGGCGAAAATACAACCGTTATCGCTGAGTGTAATTCAGCGTGAAACACAGTTCAAGATCCACTGTCTGTTTAAGGGCCCCTCTGATACAGAATCCAGATCCCCTATCAAAGGTAATTTTAAGAATTATGTGTTTGTTTGTGTGTTATTTAACGTCCCTCTCGAGAATTTTTCACTCATATAGAGACACCACCACTTTCTGGTAGAGAACTGCAAATTTTGTCCTATATTCGACACTAACGGCCAATGAGCAGTGAGGGATCTTTTTTGTACCATCACCTCCTGCGACATGGCCGGACCTCTGTTTATACGGTCTCATCACTCCATGTTTAACAGTGGGATTTGAACCCGCGATGGGAGAATCAACTCCATGTTTCACGACTCTAGAGCAGACGCTCTCACCTCTTCCCCAGGCGGACTAAAAAAATATGAAAAACTGTACAAAATTTTATTTGCTACGCTTCCCCTGCAGACTCAATGGCCATAACTTGTGTATATTATCATGATGTGTAAATTCACATCTGAGCGGGGGTATTACTAGTGAGCAGTGGCTTACAGACCTCTTTTTTTAAAAGTAATAATGTACTGCAGATTCCTAATTATACGCGAGGAATTAATTTCCGCGTAATTTAGCGAGAAGCATCACTCGCGAAATAATATTACTCGCTTTTATTTTTAGGGTGATGAAATCCATTTGAAATCTATTGATCAACTGTCCATTCGCGGATTATTATTCTCGCAATTTGACGTTGAAGAGCCGGTACGCGGTAAAAAGTACTCGCGAAAAATATGGAATTTACAGTAATTATTCGTTCATTTACGTTTCAATAAATTATCACTTTACATGGTATAAGTAGTCCCTGATTCAACTAACAGAATATTTTTTTTTAGTTTTAGATATTCAGAAAGATTTCACTTTGTTTGAGGCAATTATACCGGTCCGAAACGTCACCAACCACAAGTTAATTCTAAAATCTAAGTCTACATCGGAAACATTGAAAATGGCTTTAAACTTTTTTCCCACAAGATATGCGCAATTTGAATTTTACGGATCAAACTGCGAGTTTGAAGTGAAGGGTTCTACTGATAAATCCAAGTATTCAGCCATCGTTAAAAATTGCGGAGCAGAAGAGGACTACACCATGTACCAATATTTTAAAGCTAAGCTTAACCTATCCGATGAGATTGTCTCAGTTACGTCATTTCCGGAAAGTGAGAAGTATTGGAAATATGTTAATGTGTCTGAGAGCTACGAACCGGAAGATACAGCGACCGCCATTTTGAACAAAGATTTGATGGCCGAGGATGGCGTTAAAGTGAGAAATCTCGATTTCGACGTGTTTGCTTTAGGACACAGACCACCACAAAGAAGAAAGATGTGTGAAAGCCTTGTCTGGACATTCAGTCTTATTTAATATTCTTGAAATGCAGTGGACAAGTTTAAACAAAATGCAAATTGAGTTTTAATAAACAAATTCATATGATTTTTACAATGTTTTATTTTAATCTGATTTATTCAACTCTGTTTCAAGTACTTGTCAGATAATATTTAGCTCGTTTTGCAACCCGACTGTATTACAAACGGGTTACTGGGGGTCAATTTTCGTTCGCGCTTCAAACCTAAGACTTAAACTTATGTGAAGTCTGTTTCTACGCCAAGCTTCCGGTATTACATCTCATTTGGGAAGTTTTTACTCAGACGTAGTGAGCATTATTGCGGTTCTTAATTGTTAAGGTAACACTTAAAGACGGACACTGTAGTATTTTTAGGCATTTTGTTTTGTTTTGACTGAATGGATCTTAATTCTGCCATTTGGCACAAAGCTTCTATAATGTCCTGATTCCAATAATTCCAATACTTTCCGATTCGGACTGCTCGTAAAAATGTTAAAATTTCGTAACGTGTACTACTTTTTAATACATTCATATAATTGACTTTAAAGATAAAGTTTGAAGAATAATTTTGTATAAGTACATGTAGGTCGAAGTATTTATTCAACTATCAAAAATAATATAAAGGTGAAACATCAGAGATTTGCAAATTAGTAATAAACAAATATTTAGGTCTTTATAGAGAAAAGTAAAAATTTCCTTGAAAGATAAAACAAAATCTGGTCATATGTGAAAAAAAAAATCCGTGAAGGAATTTCTTGTCAGAAGTTTTACTAGTGCATTTGAAAGGCAAACTCTGTACTACATGACTGTATATTTCGCTCCAAACTGATCCAAACGGGTAAAATACTTGTATTGTTTATTTTAAGCAAAGTGAACAAGTTCTTTGTCAAAATGATGCATAATTTTAATTTTCGGAAATTTAACCATTCTGTCTGGATGGCAAGAACAACTTAAAAAAAATATCTTGTGGAAAATCATGATCCGGTTTGCAATATCTCTTTTAGAAACAATAACATGTAGCCGGGTACATGTCTCTATCTTGTAATTTGAAAGAATCAAAAATTGTGGTCAAATTGACAAAATGCAATCCTTGTTATTGTATCTACATGTATAAAAGATACTGTATATTTGTTTCGACTTTATATTTCAGATTTACACGTAAAATCAGTCCTTTTTAGCTCTACTGGTCAGAGACCAGAAGAGCTTATTCGATAGTAATGCGTCCGGCGTCCGTCCGTCTGTCTGTAAACAATTTTTAAAATGCTACTCCTCCTACAGTTTTGATTTGATTTCATTATAACTTGGCACACAAGTAGACTACACTAAGATACATAATTCTGTTTATCGGTTTTGATTTTGACGAACGGTGTTGGCGTTGTTACTAAAAATAGAAATTTCTGTAAAATTCTTTCAAAATGCTACTCCTGCTACAGTTTTGGTCTGATTTCAATATATTAACTTGGTACACAAGTAGACTACACTAAGATGCATAATTCTGTGTATCGATTTATGATTTCAACGAACGGGGTTGGCGTTGTTACTAAAAATAGAAATTTCTGTAAATTCTTTCAAAATGCTACTCCTCCTACAGTTTTGGTCTGATTTCAATATAACTTGGCATATAAGTAGACTACACTAAGATACATAATTCTATATATCGATTTTTGATTTCGACGAACGGTGTTGGCGTTGTTACTAAAAATAGACATTTCAATCTGTGAAATTCTTTCAAAATGCTACTCCAATGCTACTTCAAATTCAGTTTTAATCTGATTATAATATAATGTGGCATGCAAGTAGACTACACTAAGAACATAAAGAGACTTATTCAAGGATCATTATTCTCTTTTTTGCAAGTGTAAAGATTCAATTCCCAACTGCTTAAGTACTTTCCTCTTCCTTTGCTATAAGTACAAACCAGTAGAGCTTCAGTCTCGACAGAGACTTCTGGTTTGTTGTTTATATTATTCAAGCTTTAAATACATAAACAATACAAATTGGGAACAGAGCCAACACAGACCTCCGAAATCAGAGAAAAGTTCAGGTACCATGGATAAGCAGCCATCACTTTCCGACCGGTCACACCCGATGTGCGCATTGTTATGGTAAACGGAGAAATCTTAAGAATTTCCAGTGTTTAAATAATGATAAAAAATGACAGTAGTAGCATTAAAAACATCAGTCAGCATTTGACCAAGTGGAAGAATGTAGTTGCTTAAAGAGTCAATGTATGTTTTCTTATCTACCATTAGAACTTGCAAAATGGAAACTTCAAACACGACTGTTGATATTCTTGTTGCATCAACTTTTTAGGTCACCTGAGTAACTCAGGTGAATTACAATTATGAATTTTATGGTCCTCGCCCCCCTGGAGCCTGAGGAGTGGGGTCAAAACCATTAAAATTATTGCAATCTTTAAAAATCTTCTTCTTTACTCCTGGACATCAAGCAGGCAAACTGTTAGCATGAATGTAATGAGCATTGAGTCCTTTACCAAAATTGTGAAATTCATGGCCCAAGGGTCAGGGGGTCAGGCTATATAGATTATATAGTGAAAATGCATTTATTCTTGAAAAAATCTTGTTCTCTGCTTCTGGGTATTAAATAAACTAAGTATATAGATATGTTGAACAAGAGTGCCTCTTCCAAAACTGTAAATTTTATGGCCCCAGGGTCAGGGGATCTGTTGTTAGGGCGGGGCTCTATTGATTTTATAGTGCAAATGCATTAATTCTTTGAAAAAAAAAATTCTTCTGTGCTTCTGGGTATTAAATAATAATAATAATAATAATACTTTATTTAAAGAGGGTAACCCGATTAGTGCAATGCACTAGTCTTCCTCGAGGCCCTCTATACATGGATAGTACAATTATGTATACAACAGTACAATAATCAGAAAATTTACAAGTATATTACATACAGGAATTACATTTGAAAAAAGAAAGTATATACAATATATTATCAAAACATAGAACAAGTTACAAATTAGGAAATGTTGCGTCCATTGATGATAAATTTTTCCACATTTTTACGAAAGGATTGTACAGTTGGGGAAAAACGTACATGTAGAGGTAATTTGTTCCATAAATTAACGCCTGAATATTGAAAAGAATTTTTAAACAGATTTGTTCGATACTTTGGTAGACTAAGGTCATAATTGGATTCAGAACGTAAAACATAATTTTTGGAGGAAATAAATTCAAACGAGTCTCTCAGATAATCAGGTGTCATACCATGAAGTGTTTTACAAAGCAGTATGTATTTGTGAAAATCTATTAATTCATATATAGTCAGCCAATCAAGTTTCACAAATAATGGTTGTGATGGAGCATCTGGTGCCACATCTAATATAATTCTTGCTGCTCTTTTTTGTAATTTAAAAACTCTTTCTATGCCAGCACCTGGAGCATTGCCCCATATAGTTAAGCAATAATTTAAAGATGGCAGAATGTATGCATTATAAAAAAGTTTCCGCGTGTGTAATGGGAGAATTTTTTTAATTTTACGTAATGTAAATAGTTTATACGTCAAGGACTTGCACACAGAATCAATATGACTAATATAGCGCAATGAATGATCAATATGTACTCCCAAGAGTTTTTCTGATTCAACATTTTGAAGAACTTTGTCTGATACACACAAATCTAATTTTGAAGATGTTAATTTAGATTTTCTGTGTTGAGTCCCCATAAGCATACATTCTGTCTTCTCAATATTCAACACCATTTGATTTCTAGAACACCAGTCTTCAATTTCACACAAATCAACATTTAGGGCATTTTCAATAGAATGCACATTATTATGATATGTATGTAAAGTTGCATCATCAGCAAACAAATCAATATCTGTATTATTTACATGTAGAGGAAGATCATTTATATATAGTAAAAATAAAAGTGGCCCTAAAATAGAACCTTGTGGCACACCTGCTGTGACGGGCATAAATTTAGAGGAATAAGTACCTAATTTTACACATTGTGTTCTGGAGCTCAAATAGGAATAAAAACCATTTAATTGACATTTGGTCAAAGTGATACAACTTAAGTTTGTTTATCAGAATATCGTGATTGACTAAATCGAATGCTTTACTAAAGTCTAGAAAAGTTATCCCTACAAGATTTCCTTGATCCATAGCTTGCAACCAATTGTCTGTTAGTTTTGTTAATGCTGTTTGACAGGAATGAAACTCTCGAAAACCAGATTGTGATTTATATATAAGATCAAAGGTAGTAGTAAATTCCCGGAGTTGATTGGCTATGTGTTTTTCAAATAATTTGGACAATGTTTGAAGAATTGATATAGGTCTGTAGTTTCCTGGATCGGCATGGTCCCCGTTCTTAAAAATAGGGGTGATTTTTGCTATTTTTAAATGTGATGGAAATACACCATTAATGATGCTAGCATTTATAAGATGTGTAATGGATTTGCATATGACATTTGCTGAAAGTTTTAGTAGACGAGGCCCAATAAAATCTACACCTGCGGATTTGTTTACATCTAGTGCATTTAACATATTAAATACTTCTGTCTCACTAATTTGGTGAATACTGAAAAAATTTTCATTCCCAAGTTTTGATTTTGTAAAGCTGTCTAATAATTTAGAATCAAAAGAACTATATGCGGTATATTGCATGTGTTTGCCCCCACAAAAGTCAAATTTTGAAAACTTCCTGAAATGTGCTGAATTCAATAAATTGTACGAGAAATATAAGTTAACAGAAAATATTATAGTTCCAGAGCAGTGTATTCACAATTTCTGTTTTTATGACGTCACAAACTAGTCCGATTTTATATCCTTTTTCAGAAAGAGGACAAAATGGACAAATTTTCAACAATTTAAGCTTTAAAATTTATAGAGCGCATGTGTGTTCAGGAACAATATTGACATATTTCATTGATATTATCATTCTACACATTATATCAAAATATTTATCCTGAACACACATGCGCTCGGTGACTTTTATTTAAAATATCGACGAAATATGTACATTTTTCTGCAAAATTCATAAAAAACTGAAATTTACGTCATATTTGTGACGTCATTACGTACATATGACGTCATTACTTATGAAAT